ATTTTGAATTATAATGTGAACTTTACAAAATTATTGGTGCTATTCATATCACTAGTTAGATTCTATGGAACCGTGATATTTTTTGCCCTTCCCCAAACCAGCACCTCTTGGTGTTTTATATAAAACAACCGCAGCCAGCAGAAATCAAACATTTCTACGTAAAGTATTACATTGCAGGGAGTAAACAAGGAATAAAACATTTTTATACTTCTCCCTAAACTTATTTGTTTTTTGAAAGTATTTATGCAGCACAAAGACACGTGTTTAGTGAGAAATATGGCCAGTTCCTCTTCTTTAATTGAAACATTTATGCTTTTTGTTCCCCTAGCAAAAAGCAATGAACAGTAATAATGCAAGATAAATATACAAGAAACTTATAGATATGATTGTAAAACAACATCATCCTAATGTTTCCACTTAATTACCCTGAAATGTATTCTATTTAATATTCATTACTCAAAAGCCAATTTAAAAGAGAATGAGGTGAAGGGACTTATTCAGAAAGACGGACTGTCATTCACTGCAATAGTTATCTAATATACAGAAGTTAATAAAGCAGATTAATCTACAAGTCCCTTTAAGCCATCACTGAGTTTAGAACAACTGCCTCTTTGACCCCTAACCCTCCCGCTGCGCACCAGTAGCAGGTGCCAGCTGCACTGAAATGATGGCTGAGGCATTTTGAGGCGAACTCTTTTCTTACTTTGCTTCTGACCAGCAGCTGACCCTGTAGAAGCGATTGTTTCGTGTGCTGGCCTAAAGGCTACATAAACCAGCAAGGGATAAACAAAAGCATACACACGCACCAGCTGCCTCGCCCGGGGCGCAGCCAGCGCCGACACCTCGCGCGGGGCGCGCGGCCGAGCGCGCGGCCCCCCTTTGTCTGCGCCGTGGGCTCCGCACAACCCCCGTTACTGTGCGGGACTGAAACTTCTCCCCAGCCCCAAAACTGCCTGTGAGAACCGGAGCACAGCTTTGGGTGATTAAGAGGGGATTCCCAATTTGATTTAGCACCCATTATTAAGAGCGTGAAATCTTCGGATGCATCGCTAATGATGATGTATTTTAACATTAAAAGTCTTAAAATTGAATTACTCGATTCACATGATAACAAATCACAATGAGGCTTTAAACAAAGCAGAATTAGAAAAGACACTAAGCTCATTAATTTTTTTGATTTCTTAATTGACAGCACACGTAGTGATAACTATACATTTAGCAATATACTTGAGACTGAGGCGGCTGCCACCTTTATCCATGAACAGTAAGAAGCACATATAAAAGAGAAGTAACCATATTTTTCATTAAGATAACACAGCTTTGACATAGTTATTTTGCTGCTACAAATTACACAACCACAAAAACAATCAGAGTAATGATTAAATGCAGTTATGTACATGGGAGACTACTAGTGCAAATGTTAACATATTTAAATGGGTTCCCTTCATTAAAAAGATTATATATGATATTAAACCATCAATCAAATCGAAACACTAGAGTCTAAACGTATTGTCACTGGTTAAAATAAATGACTTTGAGACTGAATTTTGGCTCACTCAATATGGTGCCTTTTCTGTTGCTTAGCCACCCAAGTCTCTGCTGGCTTGGGCTACAGCTGGTATCTCTCCATCCCTTTCAATTAATAAAGAAAGTTATGGTAGTATTGCATAACATTTTTAAATTGGGCCAAGAGGCTGAAACAGATGTCCCAGGGAAAATCCCTCTCACTGCTGTATCAAACCTTTCAAGCCCTCAGACGACAAAAGCTGAGCACTCTCATCCTGATTCAGCTGAGCCTTTAAACACATTTGATTTTAAGCATAGGAACAATCACACCTGTGGGTTTGATCTGTTCTTCAAATGAAGCATATGCTCACATATATGAGCCAGGGTGCTTAGGTACTCAATATCTTGCACAAGTACCCTCTGTCAGTGCAATTCAGATTTCTGTGTGATGTGCTTATATGCAAGTGCTGCTGCCTGGGCCATGAAAGACATTATGAACACAGCTCTGCTGCAGGTTTTTATTTCCATTACTGTGCATAACTCCATACTAGCTGTATATGGCACTGAGGCTTATCTCAAAACCCAAAATATCACTTATTTTACTATGTAAAAGGGGAAGAATGAAAGGTGCAATCTATAATACTTTTTTATTAGCAATGCCATTTCATTTTTTCATTGCAACAGGCACCTTTACTTTCTGTTCTACACTTGCCAGGCAGTGCTGCTGTACTGCTTCACTTGATGCCTCCCATCACAGGTTGCAGTCCTTGGTCACCGGTGCTCTGCTCCACTGGGCAGCACTGCCAAGTTCCCCCCAGCGCTGTCACACCACACCCCCTCCTCTTGCCCAGCACTTCCCACCCCACCCTGGCTCCCTTTTCCACCACTACCCATGCCCTCAACGTTCTTTTTTCACCCACACACCTTCTCACCTACCCACTGCAACTCTCCTTTCCCAGAGATCCCTCTCCAGCTCTTGTATTCCACCAGATTCTCCTACGGCACTGAATGCTGGCTCTTCCCACGTGCCTGCTGACAGTCCCCTCCTGCAGCACTCCCCAGCCACTGCCCCCTGAAATGCTGAGCCCTTGAAGGGCTCTGCCCAGGCACAGCCTCGTCCTACAGACACACAGCCCCATAACACTGTCCCCTGCTGTGGGCCCACCTGGACATCCCACCTGGACACGGAGCAGACCTGCCAGCAGCTGGCTGGACCACGGGCCAGGAGGTGTGTGCAGATCGAATCCAAACACTGCTGCTGTGTTCAAACTCACCAAAACCCCACCTCACTCTTGTCCACATATTCCTTCTGAAAACGATGTAGAGTAATCATGGGGCACTGGCCTCCCTCAGCTGAGCCCATATCTTAACCCCTGGCCAAGAAAGGCCCAGGAAAGGAAGTGAACACTGGAATGCCATTGAAATTCCATTTCTATTCAACCAACCAACCATTTGTCCCTTCCACAGCCAGCACAGAAGCATTTAAAAAATGTCTGTGCAAGCAAGAGTTCTTTACCTATCATGCCTAAATCTTAAAAACATCTGCTAGAACTACAGGTGAGAGATGCTACAAAACTGATTGATTTTTGGAAAGAACTAACAGGGATGGTACTTTACTATACCAAAATTGAGCTAATGTGCACAGTTCTGCAAGATCAGCATTAACAGAATATAAAGGCAGCATCTTAAGACCAAAAATTACAATTTCATGTATAAAGTGAAGCAGCAGATGCTTCACTTCTCAATCCCAGAATAACAGTAAAGTAGGAGCCTTTTAAATTTATTTATCAAAGTGCTCAGAAGAGAACGTAAGAGAAAGAGCTGAATATAATAAAGTTAATACTCCGTTTTACTCATATATGTCAAATTACTTCACCCGTTAATTCGGTGTAGCTGTGAGACCCCCTCACAAAGTGGCTGCAGATGGAGCTCGGGCTGCGTTGCTCGCCCGGGGGTACGAGCTCAGGGCACAGCCAAACCCGGGCCAAAGCCAGCAGCCACTGCTGAGTTCAGAAGGATGCTCAAACTTGCCCCCGAACATTAAGGAGCTGTTTCGCTTCCGTGTTCTCTTTGGATCTCTCTTTGTACGGTCTCGGGGCAGTCACCCAGCTCTGCTGCTCGAGGCTCGGGCAGGGCTGGGGCACGGACACTCCGGAGCGCGGCTGCGGCGCGGGGCGGGAGCGGGGCGGGGTGATGGAGATGATGATGATAGTGGTGGTGATGATGATGATGATGATGATGATCATGATGATGCCGCCCGGCCGGACCCGCGGGGCAGTGACGCCGGGCAGGCTCTGGAGCAGCGGGACACCCGCACACGCGGCCGAGCCGGGCGGAGGCGGCGGGAGAGCCACGGGAGAGCTCCCCGTGGGAGAGCCACGCTTCCCGTGGCTGCCCCGGAGCCGCCCCTGCCCGGCCCCGCCGCTGTCCCCGCCGGGAGCATCCCCGGCCCGGGCCGCCCCCGCACGGTCCGCGGGGAGCACCCGCAGGGCAGGACCCGAGCGGGGACAGGTCATTACCCAGCTACTGCCGGAGCCCCCCCGGCAACCCGAGACCTGACCAGCAACTCTCTGCGGCAGCAGCGCAGGTACAGACCTCCAAACCGGAGCTCACTTCGCCACCAGGGCCCAGTTTTTCATCGCCGTTAAGTGCCTGTGACCCAGTCCTTAACAGGGTTACGCATTACTGAGCCCAAACAGATGTCCTGAAAACTGAAACCGCTGGTTAGGAAGCAGCAATCTTGTTCATTAGCTTCCACGATAGTCAAATCATCTATAAACCCAGTGTTTAATGGCCAGCCGATGAATAATCAATGTCTCACTTTTCATCTGAGTGTGAAAGTGAGAATAATCTAATTCGCCGTCCCTCCGGTAGCGCGAGGCCCTGGGTTCCGTTTCTATTCAGGGCTGATTTATAACCCAATGGAAACCTGATGTAAACATATGATCAATGAGTCCCATCATTGCTGATAATAACCCCCAACCGGCACACTCCCTCATCTCCAAAGCCATCCCTTTAGGCTATTAGTTTCGTCCAGCTAATCCTCTCCACTATTCCTGCCTGCTGCTTTTACCTTGGCCATCCGTTCAGTCCGGCAGACTCAGAAGTAATTTTATACGCAGTAGAGAGCGGGTGGAATTGATTTTTCGCTCAGTGCTCAGTTCCCATCTGAATAATTATCAATTTTACTGCCTCATAAAGGGAAGAGTCAAAATTTCAAATCAATTCAAAAGAGCTTCTGAGACTACAGAAACTGTGCATGAGAATAAAGGTCAAAGTTGTCAGTGACCTCGGGAGATGATGTCAGATATTAGTACCCTGAGTAGTTGACATCAAAGGCACTCAATATGATATGACTAGTGCTAATGCAAATCATATTTATGCTGACTGCTGGAGACCAGCCATTAATATTTAAAAGAGTATGTGAAAGCCTGCATTCAAAATAAATATAACGTATTCTGCAGAATTTGAAGTTAATAAAGACAGATCACCGCCTAGTCATACGCTGTAAAGTGAAAGATTACTGTGTATTAACAGACAAAGTATTACATCAGGATTGCCCAGAGCCCAGAGCTTGTGCCCTGCCCCTTCCCTTCAACCATGGCACGTGGCAGAGCACGGAGCAATCCGACAGACCCCAGCGCTCACTGCTGCTGCCATGAAACCCCTGCTGGCCATGTGGAACATAAGAACCTGCAATATGACACGGGAATCATCCTATTCTGATAACAACTCTGATAACAAACATCACTAATATTCTCACAATATAGCGCCAGGAATAGATTAGCTACCATTAGTTCCTTTTCACCTTCAGCTAGAACAGGAGGCAAACGCCAGCAGTAACTGATTGCATGCCAAGTTTTTTCCAAGTGACACCTACCTCTTAGGGAAACACGAAGATGACCAGTCATCTGCATTTTGTTAATAACTTCTTCCGTTTCCATCAAAAGCCTCCTGGCCTGTGAAACCCACCTCCTAAAAGAGCATCTCTGCAGCTGCATTGGGAATGCAGAGATTCTTGTAAATGCATGTTTTCAAATAGTTTAATGAGATTTTAAGGGCACAGAGCAAACGTGGGGATCTGTAGCTATGAACATCCTGATCTCCCTCTAATGTACTAGGGCTGGGAAAAACTGGGGGAGCTGGGAAGGGGCTCCTAAACAGTACAGCGGCCACTTCCTTTTCAGATGCATGAGATTTAATTTCTATTGTAAAAAAAAAAAATCCCAGAGTCACCTACTGCAAAATAAAATATTCAAACTTGACAGCACACATTCAATTTACACATTTCATCACCAAAATGTGGTTCAACACCAGAATTTGTTCTTCATCCTCCTAAAATACTTGAGAGACTTTCCTTCCCAATTGTCTATACAAACGTACTGATGATCTCACACACGTCTTTTATGAGCCAAAATGAAACACCAGGTTGTAAGATACTGTACAGCCAAGTACAGATCCTACACTCTTCAGCACGATAAAAAACACCCCCAGTCTTTGGTTGTCATGAGAACGTGGCTGAAGCTACTCAGGGTTGCCTACCAGCACAGGGAGGTTTGTTCTGTCCTGAAATAGCCAGTGCTACCTTGGTGTTCAGTACCACAAAAAAAATCAGGAAAATTCAGAAATGCAATAATACATATGTACTATATGTAATATATAATACATGGGTACATATGAGAGTCTTCTTGTCCTCTTTAGCAAGGTTCCTGAAGAGGTGGTGACAATGTATCTAAACCAGCACAACAGCTGGAGGAGACAATCACATCTGTACAAAAAATGAAAATGAAGTTTTGAAATTGTTTCTATAGAAGAATAACTAATATAATGGCCAGTCTTTGCAAGCGAAGATCCGGGGAAGGTCTTTACACCTTCCAGCCTGCGCATTGGATTTTTTAGGTGAGACACAGTGTGCGCGGAACTGAGCCCACCCTTTAATCCTAAGGTTCATCTGCCGGGGCCAAGCAAGCTTGGACGGTGGCAGTGAGGTCCTTAGGACGTAGGTGGGTTGCCTTTAAGGGCTAACGAGCTCCACCTGCCCGGGAGTGGCCCTGACCGGGAATCGAACCCGGGTCTCTGCGGTGATAGCGCCGCGCCTTTACCACTAGACCACCAGGGGCTCCAAAAGAATAACTAATAATGACATTTTAAAGTACTTGGAGAGCTCAGCATTTACTCTCTTTGGCTAACTGATAAATGGACAAGCCCAGTTTTGACACATAGGCTGAGTAGCTTTGAAGACTGCTTTTACTAAGGAACAGTGGTATTAAACTTCGCTGTTGGGGGATTGGTAATTCCAGAAGCTAAGGATTCTTTAACTCCAGAGACTGTCTTTTATAGATGTCAATACAGTGGTCCCTCTGCGTACTGGGAAGTGCAGGATGAGGGCTAAGATTTTATTAATATTCAGCTTCACATTCAGAAGACTCCAGATCCCTGGAAACTAAAATTCTGATTGGATCTGCCTACTGAGAAGACAAGATTAAACCAAGTAGAGAACTGCTGTCCAGGCTTTTCTCAAGTAGTGTGCCACTGTGCTTCTCTGCCCCAAGGAGCTTACAATCCATGCCAGGCGTCAAACACTGAACAAGGGCCATTAAGGGCAGTAAAAAGGTCATCACAAAACAGACAGTTAGTAATTTTGTTTAAACACTGTAATTCAAGTGGGTTAAAGTACATTAAATACAGTTTAAATACATTAAAAACAGTGGCCCATGGTTCTCATGCAGGCTCCTCTTAAACTTCCTCTGGCAAACAGCAGGGCACCTTCCCCTGCCCAGGGGCTGTTTCCTCTGTCCTGGCACCAAGAGACTCCTTGGGAACCCTGGACATGGACCCTTGTGCTGCCTCCCAGCTCCCATTCTGCCATCCTGGCCAGGGCCACATGTTTGACCACTGTGGGTCCCATCCCAACACCAGCTGATGGAAGCTCCTCACGTACGTGCAGCAGCTTAACTGCTGGGTGCAAGGTCTAGCCCTATCTGATATGCTCTGCAATTCCAAACATCACATCCAAACGAGTGGAGCGTTGAGGACTCCATCCTGTTGCCACTGGCTTCAGCAAGAACTTGCCTAGGCCTTTTATAGTTCACAGTATTTATTTTAGATGGGCCACTGGAGTAAGGGATGTGGGGGTTGCAAAAGGAATTAAACTGTTAAAATGCTCATTCTAAGGGAAAAGGGATTAGAAGGATCCAATTAAATGTACCTTGAATTCTTTAAACTGTGCTAATTTGGAGGCCTGCCAGCCTTGCAGTGTTCATTTAAACACATCCCTCTAGACCCTGAAGTATTTTGATCTGTGTCTGTTTAACTCCTTAAGCTCTGTGCTGACACTATTAACCCTTCACCACTGAAATCCTGACTGTATCTTGCTAAGGGTGTTTTGGAGGAAACACTCAAGGGGCATTTCCAGGTAGAGAAGATACAAGTCCTAAGGCTGATTCAGCAGCCAGAGCTGGGAGTGATCTAACAGCTCACAGAAATGAGCTGGAGCATCTCACCTCTGTCTCCACGGGACTGCTGAGCTTCCGAGGGCTGAACCCAACAGGGCAGGAGGGCAAGACATTGCTGGAGCAAAGCTGAGCTCAAAGCTGTCCATCTTGCCAAAGCAAAGGCAGCACTACCATGTTCTTAACCAAAATAGTCCTGCATGTAAACTAGAAATGCAATTCATGGTGGAATTGAATCACCATCAATAACAACGAGAGAGAGATTTGAAAATACATATTTCATAGGAGGGCTCTGCTGTATTTCCTAACCAGTGCTTAACTCTATTTCTTTTTAAATTGAATAATACAAAGTAAATCACTATCATCAGTTTACAAAACAGCAGTAGTTCTAAACATGCTGATACTGTACAAGTAGGTATTTTACATTCGACAGTAAGTGATTTTAGCAGGACAGCAGACAGGTCCACACTATCATTTGCTCATGAGAATCTGATATGAGTGTTAAGAGCTACTTAAATTTGCCCATAACTATATATCAAATATGCTTCCCTATGCTCATTTTTCCTTTTGATTGCAGACAGGGAGTGTCAAGCAAACTCCCTTGAATGACTCTTCTGGGCACGTGGAACCCTGTGCTGGGCTGAATAGTGTTCTCACTAAATCTTAGTGAGACAAGCCAACTAAATAAATAGAACAAACAGGAGCAATGAGGAGCTACCAGTTCTAGGCTATGGACAGATAAATGGGTGAGAAGACAGAATAAAGATAGAATTATAAAAGAAACTGAGATAAAAGCATGGGATAATCAGGAAAAATGCAGTCAAACCGTGTTTCTCATTTCTGGTCGACTCAGCTCCATCACCTGTGAACTAATAATTTACAGAAACACCACAGCCAGCTCTGTGTGTGCCAGCATGGGCCCAGCAACAGTTCAGCAGCTTTGTCAAGCAAAACTGAGCTCTCTGGACCTCCCTGATGGCGAGGTGGGGCTGGTGACGGGCAGAGGACATGAATGATGACTCTGGCACCAGCTCTTGGGGTTTCTCCTTTGCCAGTGTGCACTCATTTCATGTTTGGGGACTAACCTTACATGCACTTCTTTGTTATCTGTGTGGTTTTGCCTGATCTATGCAATTCCAATCAGCCATTAGCTCAAGTAGCTGCAAGTTGAGCATGTATGTTAGAGCGGGTCAGGTTATTTTAGAAAAGCCAACAAAAGCCCCAGAAGACTGGAGGATGGCTTTTGGTCTCAGCAATATGACAACAGCAAGATGAAGGGGAATTGCTTTTCAACAGTTCAACAGCATTGCTGAATCTGTGCAAATTAAAAGATTTTGTTTTGTTTTTCACATAAAGGCAAGGAGAGGGAGTTAAATGGTATTTTCCATGTCCATCAACTGCTTATAGTTCAATACCGGCATTCTTTGCCTTTGAGACTAAACCTGGAAAGTAAATGGATTTAGCAATTTAACATCTAAATTAGGCAGCAAGACAGGCAAAATGTTTTACTTTTTCCTCAATGAATAGCACACTATACTATTAATCATATGAGAATTAGAAAAGCTTTGCAGAGATTAGTGACAACATGCCAGGCAGACTGCCTTAAAAGGCTCTGATCCACTGAGTCAGCTGTGAAAAAGCCAGGTAAACACTTTAGAAGGGAACTATTGGAGTGTTTATCCTCCCAATAAAAGCTCAGATGAGGGCTTCCATTACAGCTGATTTACAGCAAGGTGCCTCAGAAGGAATACATATTCCTTCACAGTGCTTATAAAGTGGGGAATCAGGCAAGGTATTTACTCAGCAGCAGAATGAACACTCCTCAGAAAAAAGGATTTGGGGACTGTTTGTCCTGCAGCTGACAACAATGAGAGTCTCAAAGGTTTCACATACGTAAAGAGAATAGAGGAAAAAAAGTCATACACTGTTTTCTGTGAAAGAGAAGTGGTCTCCTGGTATTTAATTTTTAAAATAAAAAGACAGCTATTTAATTTTTATAAACATTTCTAAAAATGACTTCTATGTTCTAATCAGTTTAAAACACAATTTCCCCTCAGATGGCTTATAGCCCTGAGCCCTACTATTCTGAGATGTTCTTGTGGCACTGATACAATTCAGTGAAAAAGGCAATGCTTGGATCTACTTACCCATTTTCCAAAGGCAGAAGGATGTATGTGACTAAATAACACACAGGAAATAAATTTATATTTCACTGTCTGACAATAGGTAATGTCAAAAATACCAACATTTAAAAAGGTATAAAAGGTAGGCAACTAACTCTTGAGATGATTAAAAACAAGTAAATTAACATTAAGAGCCAAAGAGTAATTCTTCTGGATATGTCATTATAGGAGTATGGAAAATAAAGTTTCTTTAATGTAAATGAGGAACTTAATGGCAGGCTTGAATATCAATTCTTGATACATGCAGTATTAACAAACATGATATAAAGGAAAAATAATCACTTTATCACTCCAAGATGGAAAGGGAAAAAAAGCAGCATTTTTCAGATGGCTGATCATGGGAAGTTAAGATAGAATCATAGAATCACAGAATGTTAAGGGTTGGAAGCAACCTTAAAGACCACCCAGTTCCAAACCCCCTGCCATGGGCAGGGACACTTCTCACGAGCCCAGGTTGCTCAAGGCCTTGCCCAACCTGGCCCTGAACACGGCCAGGGTTGGGGCATCCACAGCCTCCCCACCCTCACAGTAAAGAATTTCTGTCTAATATCTAATCTAAATTTCCCCTCTTTCTATTTGTACCCATTTCTCCTTGTCCTGTCCCTACAGTTCCTGACAAAGTGTCCCTCTCCTGCTTTCCTGGAGCCCCTTCAGACACTGGAAGCTGCTGTGAGGTCCCCACACAACCTTCTCTTCCCCAGGCTGAACAGCCCCAACTTTCTCAGCCTGTCTTTGTAGGGGAGGTGCTCCAGGCTCCTTATCAACCTTGTGGCCTCCTCTGGCCTTGCTCCAACAGTTCCATGGTCCTCTTGTGTTGGGAACACCAGAACTGTGCCCAGCACTCCAGGGGAGGTCTCAGGAGAGCAGGATGGAGGGGGAGCATCCCCTCCTTCGACCTGCTGGCCACGCTCCTTTGGATGCAGCCCAGCATTCTGTTGGCTTTCTGGGCTACCAGGGCTCACTGCCAGCTCATGGTGAGCTTTTCTTCAACTATCAAGTACTGCTCTGAATTGTGTGAGAGACCTTCCCAAAGATGAGGGGCTGCATAGGCAGTTTGGACAGAAGAAGCAAATACAAGTGAAAAATACCCATAGGATCCTAAAGATGGAGGCAGAAACCAAATGGGACCATCCTCCATTCAACCTCCTGTCAAAACCCTGTCAAAAACAGGGTCTGCACCAGACAGGTTCCTCAGGACCTTGTCCAGTATTTAGAAATATCTCCAAGGATGACATTCCACCCTCTGTTTATTTGTATTTATTTTAGGTGCATTAAGGACATGGAGATGAACTGAAGAAGAGCACTGGCTAAACAAATCTATGGCTTATGAAATATGAAAAAAAGTAAGCTGTTAACATTTTTGTTGATGCTTTTCTCAGCAGAATATTAGGAATTCTACAGAATACAAGTTACCTAAGACATTCCTAAAAAATTTAGTAATTCTCCATGATTAAACTCCAAGATACCTAAACCACAAAAGTTTGAAGCTAAAGCTGGAAAGACATACTTTTCATACCCCTCCTACCTTTTTGAGAGGGGAGAATAAATAGAACACCTGAAAGCTAAAACTTATTTAGCCTTTACATTTTCTTCTCTCTCTTTTACATTAGTTCAGTTTGAGTTTCATAAGAGATGGGTAAATTAAACTTGGTATGCTAGTGAGTTATAAAAATGAACATAACCAGTCTCTCAAGTGGAAGAGATGTGGAGGATAACAGAGCTCAGGGTCAGCTGAGCTGGCAGCTGTCGGCCAAGCCAAGGCTCAGTGTGCAATATATCCACCTGCAGCCCAGCAACAGGCGGGTCCCAGCAGGACCAGCCCGCGGGCAGAACGGTGTCAAAGCACCCAAAATATCTGGGACAGGATGGGTTTTGGTGTTACATAACAGAATGACCTGAATACTTGTTCAGCACTGCCCATCTCCTCTCAGAGGGCTCCCACAAACTGCTGAATGTGTTGGCACAGGAGTGCTCCGAGAGCCTCATTGCCTTCCTGCACTCCTGGGGGTTTGACTGGCCCTGGGCAGTGATGAGCAACACCAGCTATTACACAAGAACATCTACACACACTAATGTTCTACATTCCTATTTTTCTCCCCCTAATAACTGCCTAACCGATAAATACGACTCAAAGTTTTGAGCAGCTTCCCAGTCAAAAACTGTGCATGGTATTCCAGGGTCACCAGAATGAATTATTTTTATTTCCCACAAATGCTGTTTCCTTCTCCATGTTCCAAATTGCTTTAGACTGTCACCTCCCTGCCCAAACCCCAAATGTTTGGACGGTCATCTGGTTCAAAAGCATAAAATTAAACAGTGTAAGTGAATTAAATGAATTGCAATCAGACCTGCTGTATTTGTATCTTACTCCAGGTATCCTTCCCCGGCTCTGATTCTCTTCTAAAGCATATTCAGGAAGTACTGAGTAACAAGTTTCTTTTTTCCACAGGCAGATACCTTTACATTCCTCAAATCACATCACAGCTGTGCAGAACAAGTGTTATTTATACAACAGCCATGCCGATCAAATAAAAACAAAACCCCACAGATACTTGTACACACATTAATATTTTACTTCTGAATAACAAATGCATGAATTTTCAGTACAATTCTAGTGGAGGCACATTATTAATTTTAACAATTCAGGCTTGTAAGAAAAGAATATTTAAAAACACTATCTGTAAAAATCTACAGGTTTAAAACAGGTTTGGCTACAGTAACCAAAACAGTCACATCCTTTAAATGTTCAAAAGCCAGCATCTTCCACTGTCCCTTGATATTAATTTTTTTAAGGTACAAATGAATGTGCTGCTTTGAAAATCTGAGATATCTAAATACATGAATTCTTCCTTTAGCCAAGTCTAAGTAATTCTTACCTTCTGCAGTGAGTCCTCCAGATATTGAGGTCAGAATAAGATGTGAGGTTCTAAACTGGTAATGAAACTCATATGATCTTGGGTCAGACACTCCAAAAGTGGATAATAAGACTGGTTTAGTTTTTGATATTGCTGAAAAAAAGAGTACACATTCACAGAAAATGAAGATATTACCACTGACTAATGTTAACAACATTAACAGATGACAGAAGAATGATCTTAGAGATTTTATGATACGATAAAATTAGTTAATGAATCAGAATATTTATAGAGCTAAAATATTTTTCTGTCTTCAGTAGATTTTAACTCTTCTAATTTACCATTGGATGTAACTTGCTGTTGGTCTAAAATATGCTCAGGATAGTCCAAAAATGGTACAGGGCTTCACCATTCAACATGCTGTTAGTGTGGGAGGAGCAGGATAATGTTTTGCCCAGGACTCCAGGCATATCTGACCCTCTGCAGGAAATCTCACTAAGATATATCACGGATTTCCCCAAACCATCTCAGACACAGACATTTTTTGCTGCTTCTGTGAGCTCCTGTAACAGCACAGGCAAAGACACCTGCTTGAACACATCAGCACAGTCCAACCAGTGTCTTCCTCTTAAGGACTCTGGTTTAGGGAATTAAGTGTTGGATAGCTGGGAATGTGCAATTAGGCCAATACACCAACCTTAATTCAGAGCAACTTCTCACTTCCATGGACTTTCTTTATGTGGCAAAAATAAATCTGGGTATTAACGATTTTTAACTATCCCAGATTTGTGCCTTCCTGCAAGGCAGTGACAGCTCTGAACTAAAGTATCGTGAAGAAAAAGGCCCAGTTCAAATTCAGGCTGAAAATAATCAAGATCTGTTGTCTTCCCATGAAGAAGTGGGAATATGGTGTACTTTAATTTTAAACTTTTCCATTTTATGGGGAGTACACAGTGACAATTTGCAGATTGAAACTAATTACAGAGTAGCTGGATAAACGAGGATGCTTTACAGTGCACGCAGACAATGAAACGGGTTTGCAAGTATAGAAAGGAAAATAAAATTGCATTTCTCTCTTTTACAAGCCTAGTTAGAGTTCTGGAAAAGCTCCCATTTCACAAGGCACTTCAGTCATACCTGTGTTTCAGATGTCACTATGTAAATAAATTCAAGTAATTGAACTGAAAACTCTGTTTGAGCCGTTCTGCATCCCCCTCTCTCATTATACCAATACAAAGCCTGTGGTGGTGTTACTTCACGTTTCACATAAAGACTCCCAAGATGAGTAATTGCTTGCTAGCAGGTCACTGTGGGATACTGAAAGCAGCATTTTGACAAAGGCCTGAAGTGCATTGTCAAAGTGGTTGTCCCCGTACAACTTGAAGATGCCGAAGCTGACATAATTTCCACACAAGGCAGACTTCAGTGCAGAGTAACAGATGGAAATACACTTGAGTTTCAATGGATAAACCTGATCTTTTGACAAAGTCCCAAGAGAGAGGATCTGATTAGCTGTTTTCATAAAAAGAAAGAAAGAAAGAAACTTAAATAAGCAACTGCAAATCTAAAATATTTTGACAGCACTATCTAAAATTATTTTTGTCTTTATTTTCATTACTATTTGGAAGAAAAATTGTTTCTGCATTTGATGTAAAAGATCTGTTAAGTAAGCATGATTAGAGCTTAAAAGCCACTAAGCAATTAGTATGCAAAATTTAAAATACAAGCTCTGGAATTCCCATTATTGATGTACAGCCACACCATGACTGAGTCTATGAGCATGAATTCTTTAATCTGAACAGAGTTGCAACACATGGTTTTATAGTTTCTCAAGCTGCAGCAAAGCCTGGTTTTGATCCATTACCATAACGCTCTCTTGGGATGCTTGCTGATGTATACACACAATAAATATATTCCTCAGAAAACAAATACGTCCATTACAAAAACCTCTATTTTACCAGTCACAGATGGGAACAACTTTTTAATTCAGCTTCATGTTTATAATGTAAAAATAACAGTTACTGGTAAATATTTGTTGTTGCTGTGACTTTGGATCCACCGTGCAGCAGCTCCCACTGCAACCCCCTGTACAAATCTCCACGTTCACAAGGTCTCATTACCAAGCTTTCTAAGTATCTTTATCACAATTTAATGCTCATCTTCACAGCACCCCAGAGTGATTTTGTCTTCATGACAGTTTTTTTTTTTTTTTTGGAACCTGAAGCAATTAACGAAAGTGAGCAAAATGAGTGGCACGAGCACAGCAAAGCCGAAGCGCCTGTCCTGCCACGAAGCAGCCTGACTAGGCTGACCCCATCTCATGCTGACCTTGCCAGGTCTTTGCTTTGTTGCTACTCATCATTCTTGGTAATTTTAACCAGTGGAAAATAACACTTTTAAAAAAAACTTCCTATAAACAACAGCACAACAAACAGGACGCTTGGCTTGTCTGCTCTCGGTGTGGCATCGCCTCGTCCTGGCTCTGATCTCAACCTGGAGCAAGGAGAAGTGAGAAAAGTGGGCATTACCTGTTCACAATCCAAATATTGCCAGCTGGGAAAGGGAGTTATGGTGGTGCAGTTTTGATCTGAGGCAATTAAAAAAATGCCCTACAACCTTGCCTGAGATGACACAGATTAGTATCATTTAGTATGTATTGAAGCCTAATATTAAACTGGGTCAGTCTCTACTCAGCTCTCCTTTCTAGCCATGCAAATTTCCACTTGCACATCATCTACCTGTTCTTTAATTCTATTGGTTATCAGTAATGATGAATTTACATCACATAATCAGAAAAACAAGGGGAAAAAAATCTTGTTTCTAAGCACCCATTTGGTGTCATTTGATGCAAGGATGGAAAGACATAGGTTACTGTTTAAAACATTCATGTTTTTCACCACTTCTAGCAAGTACAAGGTAATTTATCTATCAGGTGGTAAAGGAAAAATAGATTAACAAAAAAAGACTGGGAGTGTGATCAGGGATTGCATAGAGGAAGAAACCAGGGTCTGTAAGAAGCCAGAATGGTGAATTAGAATTATGGAAGGAAAAAGAAAAGCAAACATTTAGCTAGGAAAGGTGGTCGCTTAAAATCAAAATCAAGCCTTCTTAATAAAACAACAAAAAATTTATTAATGAGAATATAGAGTAGTTTTGACAACTGTAAATGCTCATGTGAGCACCCCTCTTACTCAAGTGCTGCATTCTCAAAGACAGTGTAACTGGGGAAGAGATACCATTCCAGTGACTGCTGCTGCACAGTAATTAGCTCCAAATGGTACTAAATCTCTATTATACTAAACAGGATTGGTATCCAAAATCTCTTTTAAATGTAAAACATAGCAGAAAAATAAGAAAGCCTTCTAGTGTTCCTGGATATTAATTTAATACTTTACGTTACTGAGGAATTACACTTCCAAAAAATTAAAGTCCATTTAGCTTTGTACAGTGTGCTATTTTAATATAATGAAATATAAAATTCTGTTGTGTGAGATCAAGTGGGAAGGCACACACTGTTTTTGGAAACCACTGTTGAATGGTACAATTCTCAGGGCACAAACGGGACAGAAAGGAAAGAGTGCTGTAAACTAACCTGAGCTGGTCTTCATTATTAAATTCACTGCTGCAAATCTCGACTTCATCAACACAAACACACACCTGGCTTCAGAAATGAGCAAAGTTCTGGATCCAAGAGAGGAACAGCCTTGGGTTTGGAGCTGAGCTGTCCAAGCATGACATCTCACAGTCCCAGGTCATTCAAGGACCTGGTGTAATAAGCAACAATAGATGGCAAGAGCTTACTAGTGTGTCAAGAAGGCAGTTATGTGCTTAACATGGAAATTAACTGGAATTCAAAGTGAAAAATGGATAATGAGAAGTTGGAAAAAACTGGAGTCCCTCAGCCTGGGAACATGAATTCTAGCAGGTATCCCCTAGTGCTCGTGTTCCATCATTTTTATTACTTCACCAAAACCTCACCCAGTGATCAAAACCCACTGGTGAGCACAAAGGACTGTCCTTCCCCAGTGAAACACTGAGCAGAATTTGGGTCTAGTGTGACATTAAAAGCTGCTTTTTACAAGTGGACAGAATACACAGAGAACTGTTCTGTGTTCATGGACTCATTTTAAAAGGACCTGAGAGTGGGAACTGCTGATTTCAAATGAGCAGCAGAGGTGAAAGACCGGGCGGTGCCAGGTCCCAGAGTGATGTGGAGGGTGCAGGGCTCCAACACAGCAGTGGTTTAGCATCAGTTATTGAAAAAAAATATGAAGTGCCATGCCTGACTAGATAAAAAAAGAATGATCTGCTTGCAACATTTAGCAGGAGCTTCAGGGGAATATTTTTACACACTATGGATACTACTGAACATAAACTAATTTACTGAGGTACCTGGAATCAGGTCAAGAACAACTCCTCAGCTACTGAGGATATGCTTACATTTATAATCCCTGTAGTGGAAGACCAAAATACAATTTTATAAATTGTATCCTATTGTTAAAAGAAACAATTTAAAGAAATTAAATCAACATAAAAGTGACATTTGACATGTTGGATTTAAAAATTGTGTTTGAAATTCATAGCTCCTGTCAAAACAAAAACTCTATAGAGACTAATCAGTGAAGTTCCAGTGTTTCTACTGAGTGAAAAATCGAATGAAAAAATCCAACTTGCACCAATTTCTTCTTAATGTGGGAGAAATTGCATTGCACCATCTTAAAATATACTGACTTTCAAAATTCTCAATAATTTCCTTTAATTCAACTTTTTGCCCTGCATTTGAGAGCAATGTCACAAAAATCGTGTACTCTGAGCCTCAGTGTTGACACAAAATTCTGACAGGAATAAGAAAAGGATTTTTAAAGATCTTGCTGAAACTGCTGGAGAGGAAACAGAGCCTTGAATTTGGCTGCAAATTTTAATGAGTTAATTACTGAAAGACTCCTTAGTGCAACCAAAGGAGCTGGCAAAGAACAAGTGTGTGTGTGTGCAGAGGGAAGTACTGAGCCAGCCAACCCCAGGCTGGGCTGCTCTGCCCGCAGAGAACACCCCCAGGGCTCAGCACCCCAGGGCTCAGCACCCCAGGGCCCTCCCAGCTCCTCCTCTCACTCCCCCCAGCCACGGGAGCACGTCAGGACACACAGCTTTCCTTTCAGCTCTCCTCCTTAATTGCTTTTACAGGAGAAGCTATAATCCAAAATGATTTCCTTATGGCTGAGTTTCATTTCAGCAGGGCTTGTTCCAGACTCCAGACCAATAAGCGCTTTGGATAATAATACAACTAAATCATATTTTAACATGTGTGAATTAGATGAAGATATAAAAAGACTTTGGTGAGATTAAACAAAGGGTTGTGAGAATGTATCACGTTTATAGAGAAAAGTGTTTTTTGCCTTTTCCCCTTTCCTGTTTTTATTATTCACCACTGCCCATAAAGATGGTTGAACACACACCTTCTGGGCATTTGGAATGCTGGGCAGTGCAAGGAAGGGGCCAGACAAAACAGGAAAATGTGAATCATAAAGAGGAGAGCTTCAAGAAATGATTTTTTGTTTTTAAAGCTTCCACAACAACAAAATGTGCATAAAACCTCTCAAATCAGCCCAATGAGCCTGCCCAAGGTATATTTGTCAGAAGAAACTGATTCCAAAACATGAGTCCGTAATGAAGTGCAATATATTCTGGAACCACTGTCACAGGAGAGAGGAGGGCAGACCAACACAGCTGAGAGCACTGAGCAATCCACTGCCAAGCTCAGCTGCTGCTGAGAAATACCTGTTAGACAGCAAGAATCAGTTTAACCAAAATTTTGAAGAAGACCCGTTATCTTATGAAGTTGGCACTGAATGGATTACCGCACTAAGTTTTGAAATACATGTTCTGGAAGCAATTTAAAGCTCATTAGAAATAATTGTGTCTGGCTACTGGAAAATGTGGTAAAATTTAATCCACATCCAAATGCTACCTGGGCTGTGAGCACAGGAAATTGTTTTGTGCTACTGTGGCTAACCTCATCGCTGACCCTGAGCAGTAACTGCTACAGCAGCTGAAAGCTGAAGCAAAATTAAAAACTTACATCAAAGTATATCATGACAGAATGTAGATAAATAAAAACAGCATATTGAAAATATTATTTTTATGTCAGCCTCTTCTAATGAAAGGGAAGAGGTTTACTAAAATGTAAAGAAACCACAAAACAAAAATGGATGGTCCCAAGATGCATTGAAACATCATTCCTATACCACTGGGAGTTCAAAAACATATAGGAAGGAGACCTGTACATGCAGAATTAAAAGTGAAATATATTGGGGATGAAGAATAGGGAACTACACCATTCCAAGTCCTTTCAATTCTCTCCTCTCAGATGTTTAATTTAGATCGCTCTATCACTCCCTCAGACCGGCTCCAGCCCTAATGGACAAGACACAACAGCCCTTGCCAAGAAGCCGTGGAGCCCCAACAAGGATAATTGTCTGACTAAGTGCATCCTACGCCAGGCTTCCCATCTTTTGAACAGATAGCATTTGCAAAGGCATCTCAGGCCTGTCTGCAGCACTGTATCAGTGATAAATGAGCAGGAGAGGACACACCAGTACCTCCCTGATCACACAGCAGAGCTAAACGCTCGCTGAAGTGCTCCTTTTCAGAACCACCAAAAAATTCATCTTTCAAATTTTATTCCAATTTGACAATTGACAATGCTTAGCATATCTTAAAAATCAGCATTGTGAAATTTTTTTTCTGCTTTGCACTCAAATATATGAAACCCTTATACGCTGGTCTAGGGAGAAAGAGGCTATGCTTTAGTCTAGAATTAAAGATTTCAGCCTCCATACTCACAAGATATTCCCTACATTCCCACTCCCCAACACAGTTTTACCTTTTTCTTCTCCTTCTATTTTCAGCTGAAGAGCAGACCTTACAGCTCATAGAGAAAGGAAATGGAGGTACCACTCAGACACAAATAGACATCACAAGCTTGGGCAAAACTGAAGATGGAAAGAAAGAGGCACACTAAATGACCAAATGTTTGTTTAAGTCATTTCCACAGTGATTTCCTGTACACAACAGCACAGGGCCCACACAGAACAAAGCCACATATAAATTCTACCTGATTTTCATCACCTGTGTGAAGTATCTGTGTGTTACCCAAAACTGCTTTGATTGGTGTAGTCCAGACTTAGGAAGAACAAACGTGATGTCAGCAATCACCACTGTGCCCTGATGTGGGTGAGAAGAATCACCTGATAACACTAATTCCTTGTTTAAGTATCAGCTGGACAAAGGCATATCTGAGATCACATTTTTATGTACCTGTAGGTTTTCATAGCAAAAACACTCCCAGTTGACCTATGACTTAACCAGAAATTTTTGTATTTTATTTGGTGCAAATGAAATCTCTGTAAATGCTTTTACATGCATTTTCTGTACATCATTACACATGAGAGAGGAGGAAAAATCCTGTTCTAAAACAAATTTAAATTTCACTTACCAATGAAAGCACAATATAATTAAGCCATATTTTCATTTATTGATTTATGTTATATTCTTCTCAAAAAAAAAAAGGAACAGCCAGGCTAGGCTGTCTGTAGGAGAGGGACCAAGTCTTTCCCTACAGAGCCAGAGGCTGGAAACTCTCACTGTCAAGGGCACAGCAAGGAGGAGAGGTGAGAGGTAGCAAGCAGAGCTGGAAGCCTGATGTTCAGGCAGGAGTTTGTCAAGAGGATCAAACACAGCCAGGCCTCCAGGTGGTGGAAAGAAGAACTTCTCAGGGATGGCAGGAGCCTGGGCAGGGTCTACAGCAACCCACCTGGTCAGCAGATTAACTGAGACTGAGATTGAAAGGAAGGATCTTCCCACAAGGACAGAGTAATGAAAGAAAGAGATGTTCACTTCTATTTGTCCCACTCTGCCTCATACCATCACCTTGTGTCTCTCTCAGTTTAAAAATGTAATTGTTATCACACAGATTTCAGTCAAATCTACCCTGAGTTAAAGTGTCTCTCTGATCAGCTCATCATAAGCTGCAGGCATATACAAGACTTGGTAAGATAAATGGGCACATACTGTCTGTTGTCATCTCCTGACATTTGCTGCATCTTCTGTTCTCTCTTCTAATGCTTCAGTCATAAAATCATTCTGAGTGCGAGAATCTCAACTATTTTTGCAATTTTAAGTTACTTGCAGGAATGGTACAGAAGGAAACTTGAAAACTGAGCCCAAGGATTAGAAGGTGTGTATGGATTAATTGTTTTATCTGAATCACACAATTTTTCAGAACTGGAAAATTCTGGGGCTGGAAACATTGTTCAAGAACACGATTTTATGATCATCATTTGTTTTACTTGTTTGGATTTCCTCAGATGTCTGCAGAGATTACACAGACTTAAAAGACAAGTATGCTTAAAAAAGGGTACAGAGTATTATGGATTACAGTTTTCATTAGAAGAACAACTATTAAAGATTTTCAAAAAGGCATTTGAAAAGAATATCAGGTAGATAGCTAATTTTAAAGGTTTCTTCTGGAGCACATTAAGTACAGTTTTCCTCTTAACCCTGTGCTGAGTCACATCCTTCCATAGCAAAACAGTTACTTAATTTACTTAAGAACACAGCTGAAAGAACATGCTTTGCAAAAGAAACACAAAAATGATTTTGCAAGGACTGAGAGTTACCTCTAATTTTTTCTGTTACAAATAAA